CAGCTGGTGTCAGGGAGATAGAGATGTAGTTAGAGCTCTGTGCAAGCACCAGCCAGTTTGTTTAGCCGTGTCACTGAGAGGGAGGGAGGGAGTGCCAAAGGAAAACTGCAATCTGAGCTCATCTGGGAACTGGATATAAAAGGAAACAGTCCTTTCCCGGTTCCCACCTCCCACGGACTTCCAACCTCCCTACTATTCACATGCCCTTCCCTTCAGCTGATACTCTCTGCTGACAGCTACAGCAGTAGATCTCAATGCTAAAAATCATCAGTATAGCATTTCAACAGACACACACACCGAAAAAAAAAAAAAAAACAAACCAAAACCCAACCAAACACCAACAAACAAACAAAACCCAAAAACCAAACAAACAAAACCACAAACAAAACCAAACAAAAAAAAAAACAAACTAAAAATAAAACACCAAGTAAACAAAAAACCTCCCAAAACCCAGGAAAATTAAGGGGCTTGGGAAAGAAGTTTTTCTGCCTAACTTTATCCAGCCCCAGGTTCTTTTTTAGACAGACTTCCCCCTTCGCAGGAGCAGTGTCCTGAAGTCTCTTTTAAAAACAACCACTTTATTTTCTCCTGTAAAGAGTCCAGCGTCACTTTTGCACAAATGCAATACCTAGTGTTTCCTTCTTCAGTGTATCTATAGTGCAAATACTTTCCCAAACAGTAGTAAATCTATGAAATGACAGGTCATTTAGATGCAAATGTAACTGTGGTAAAAGCTCGCAGGCAAGCCAGCCTGCACTGACAGGAATTCTCTACAGCTTGAGCATTCCATGTCCTGGCATCCCCTCAATGTCCCAAAATCCCACACCCAGTCCCATGTCCTGGAACCCCCTCAATGTCCCACAACCCCACACCGAGCTCCAAGTCCTGTCAATCCCAACAATTATTTCAACAATAAGGTGGTCAGGTCTGAATAAAACTAAGGTTTATTCCCGCTAAGAATTCCAGTGGGATTTTTTGTACGTGCAAACTCTTTCCTGGCATCTCCTGGGCTGATTCCCCACCCTGATGCCAGCGGTAAGAGGAGGATGTTCAAGGAGTCACCTACCGCTGTAGACCCCGAAGATGTGGCGACGAAGACTTTGATCACCATGGTGGCAGCGCTGGCAGTGAATCAGCAGAGCAGCCCTGCTATCCACGAGTCGATCCCTGGAGAATCCAAATGTTCCACAGCTCCTGGGCTAAGCTAAATGGATGCCCCCTCCTCCCCCCAGCAATCTGACAGCTTTGCCCTCTCTCCCTCTCCCGGGGTCCTGGGTTTTCCCACTCCATTGGCTCTCGGGTATTTTGGGACGAGGATTGGTCAGTAAGAGGAGCCAGAGCAAGGGGTTTGCACCTGCCCCTGACCTTATTGCTTTAGATTGACAGGGTGGCAGCCCAAAAAAGGCAAGGGAGAGTAGTGCACCAATGAGACAGGGCTGGAGAAATATTTGGGAGAGGGGGAAGGGAGAACTGAGAAGGGAGAAGGGACGGGGAGCTGGCAACTCCGAGCTGGGGGCAATCCCAAAGCTGTCGGGTTGCATGGGAAAGAGCTTCCCCAGAGCAGTACGAGGCTTTGGAGTTGTAGCTGGAAATTTGAGGGGAGGGGGAAAGCAAGGGGAGCAAAGATGCAGCAGTAATTATAGCAGAGATCGTATTGAAATAAGCCTTGGTGACAAACGCTCTCAGCTTTAAAGAATTCAGATCATCATCTACACTGCAGGGTTCAGGGACTTCCCTGATATAAATGTGTGTCTGATACTGCCTGATACTTATTTGCCTGACTCAATGTACCCAGAATCAATTTCTCCTCCTTTTCTCCTCCTTTTTCCATCATAGAAGATGTAATAAAAGGTCCAGAATGCTCAGTAAAAAAATATTCCCATTCTCTTATATTATCCAGGATGCTCTTTATTTCCCATCTGGTTGTCACCTTCTGCCCCAGAAATCGCCACAATTCAGTGCCTGCCTGCACTTCCTTGCTAAATATCTCTCTGGGCATGAGAGATATTTGAAGAATGTTAAATGGTCACAGATAATTTTCAAATTTTAAGGGCCAAGTCTGTTTGTGCTGTGAGCAACATGAGCTTAGTAAAGCTTGACCCTGTGCCAGAGGTGAAACTGGACTAGGTTTTAGAAAAACATATTTTGCATGTTAAGATTGAATACAGTAATGTCTGATCCTGAAATTGCTTAAAATGGATTATAATAATTTATTTCCAGAATTTATTTGACAGGACTAAATACACTGTTACATAGCAATAAAGAGTAAAAATGCTGTTGAGTTTTTTAAAGAGTAAAAATTTTACTCTTTATAGTTATAAAGAGTAAAAATGCTGTTGAAAATAAGTTTTTTGTCTGTGTTAACCAGTGCGTGAAGCTGGAAATGCAGTACTCCACGTATGGAACCAGGATCCTGAAAAACTGCACTGAAAACTAAAAATAACAGTATGGGCAGTTTACTGTGGCTCACCATCTGTCATTTCTTTTTACTTTTGAGGGGTAACAGGAGGTCCAGCAACAAGCCTATTAGAAGTAGGTATTTTCAGAGTATTTTCCTGAAAAAGAACAGCAACCACAGGAAAAAAACCCAGTGAGAAAACACTAATTGTTGCCTGAAGTTCTTACACATGCTTGTTTCCCAGGAGATTTTATATGTGAGTATAGCCTGGGAAATGACTGGCCATTTGGAATAGAATGTTTCCAAATTATTTGGATTTCTGTGCCCTGAAGAAGAACAATCAAAGGATGAAATGGCCCTGGGCTTCACAGCATACATGATGTGTCACTATTGGACATGTGAAAGCACAACACAAGCTGCTGTTATTGCAAAGCTGAAAAAGAAGATGTTTATTTTCTGACTCCAGCATTTATACTTTTCCAAAAGTGACAGTGGATTGGAGGGTGAATGTGCCACCTCTCCAATGACATTGGACAAACTACTAGTACATCAAATTTCTCCACCTCTATGGAGGAATGGTAAACATTAGATTGTTTACAGAAAGTTGTGCGAGAAAGTTCTCTACAAGAATGTAAACTCAGAAGGCTTTAGAAAATATTAAGAATCAGGGCAACAATAATGATGTTAATAATTTATCAGAAAATCACAGAGTAAGCTGAGTTGGAAAGGATTTACAAGGACCTTCAATTCCAACTGGTGGCCCTGCACAGCACCATCTACAAGAGTCACAAAAGTCAAAGTGAAAGCAGTAAATATTTGTACCACCAAACATCCATGGTCAAATGTGGGACAGAATTGCCAATGAACTCTCACTCCTGCTGGCTTCATACCCAAAACCATAACATAAATTCTCCTGGAGTTTGTCCATTCCAGCTCCTGCCTCTTTAATTCTATTGCAGTATCTTTCATTTAATATCTCTGTTTCTTCTCCTGTGCATGGAAATGCCATTCCCGGAGGCTTTGGGTCATGGATCCCATTGTGTGCAGCCCCCAAGGAAAACATGACTTCATTCTGAAGGGATTTTTCCCCTTTTTCCACTTAAGAATGTTGAGTTTAACCCCGAGTTTGAAGCCTGCTGGGTCCGGCCTGTGCGCTCTGAGGGCACATCCAGGCCCTCCATGGGCAGGGCACAGCAGGACCCACATAGCCAAATTCCCATTAAAACCCTGGAATGGTCTGAGATGTGAGGGTGGAAATGCACACACACTGCTGGGTCTGGGAGGAGGGAAGAGGGAGGAAAAGGGTGAGACCCCGCTGGCAGGTGCTGCTGCCATTTCCCACAGCAGCGGGTGGAGGCCAGGCCGGTGATGGCGGCTGGTGAGGCCGTGAGGGGACAGCACACAGGGGTGGGAACAGGGAGACATTCCCAGGGAGGACACGAGACAAGGTGGGATCCTGCACTGTGGGTGCCTGGGGGACAGGGAGAACAGAGAGGAGTGGGGGGAGGACGTGGGGCTGGTGTGGGATTGTGTGTCTGGGTGGGCACTGAGGGGATTGCAGGACATGGGGCTGGGTGTGGGATTTTGGGACACTGAGGGGTGCCAGGACATGGGGCTGGGTGTGGGATTTTGGGACACTGAGGGGATTGCCAGGACATGGCACTGGGTGTGGGATTTTGGGACACTGAGGGGATTGCCAGGACATGGCACTGGGTGTGGGATTTTGGGACACTGAGGGGATTGCCAGGACATGGCACTGGGTATGGGGTTTTAGGATACTGAGGGGACTGCCAGGACATGCAGCTGTGGGGGGAGTTTTGGGACACTGAGGGGATTGTCAGGACTTGGAGCTCAGTATGAGATTTTGAGACACTGAGGGAGCTGCCAGGACATGGGGTTGGATGTGGGATTTTGGGACACTGAGGGGATACGAGGGCATGGAACTCGGTGTGGGGTTTTGGGACACTGAGAGGCTAACAGGACATGACACTGGGTGTGGGGTTTTAGGACTCTGAAGAGATGCCAGGACATGGGGCTGGTTTGGGGTTGTGTGTCCAGGTGGGACATTGAGGGAACTGCCAGGACATGGCACTGGGTGTGGGTTTTAGGATACTGAGGGGATTGCTAGGACATGGAGCCCGTTGTGGGGTTGTGGGACATTGAGAAGGTGCCAGGACATGGGGTTGGATGTGGGATTTTTGGGACACTGAAGGAGTGCAAGGACATGGGGCTGGGTGTGGTGTTTTGGGACATTGAGGGAGTTGGCAGGACATGGGGTTGGATGTGGGATTTAGGGACACTGAGGAGATTGCCAGGACATGGGGCTGGGTGTGGGGTTGTGGGACATTGAGGGGGTGCCAGGATGCGGGATTGGGTGTGGGACTGTGTGTCCAGGTGGACACTGAGGGGATTACCAGGACATGGGGCTGGGTGTGGGGCTGTGGGGCATTGAGGATGTTCCAGGACGTGGCACTGGGTGTGGGGTTTTGGAACACTGAGAGGACTGCCAGTACATGGGGCTGGCTGTGGGGTTTTAGGATACTGAGGGGATTTCCAGGACATGGAGCTTGGTGTGGGGTTGTGGGTTTGAGGGGGTTCCAGGACATGGGGTTGGATGTGGGATTTTGGGACATTGAGGGAATGCCAGGACATGGGGCTGGTTGTGGGGTTCTGAGTCCAGGCGGACACTGACAGGGTGCCAGGACATTTTCATCTTCAACACAGGAATTTGACCCTAATTATTTTATTCCCATAGTTTTTCAACATAAATTCTCCTGGAGTTTGTCCATTCCAGCCCCTGCCTCTTTAATTCTATTGCAGTATCTTTAATTTCATATTTTTGTTTCTTCTCTTTCACCTTTGGTTTTTCTGTCTTCTCCTTTTCTATTTTATTTACTCCTCAACAGCTGCTCTGGATGAACAGATTCAGGCCACGCTTCTCATCAAAACAAATTAAAGCAGTAGTTTTAAGTTTCATTTTAGGTAATTTGCTTTAAAGACAATTTGCCTAGAAAGTGTTGGCAGTGCCAAATCAAATTTTAACACAAATACAGATCTGTGAATCAACCTGGGCTTTGCCTAATGCTCAAATATGATTTCTTATCTCTTGTGGGTTATTGCACTGCCTCAGATTTAGCAGGACTGTGGCATTCCTCAGTAATCCACAAGGAAAAACTGTTCATGCAAAGGAATTAAGAGTAATGAAACTGCTTTGATTCAGCCTAAAATGTTCTGTGCAATCCTGAATTACGTCTTTTAATTTTCTTTGGGAGCGATGCGATTCCCCTCTCCCATTTAAGAAATTTAATTTAAAATGGAATGCCACCACAAAGCAAAAAAAGCCAACAAAGGAGTTAGGAGGTTTCAAGAAAATAGTTTCATATTTTGTTAGCGAAGGGGACGTGTTAAAACTCATGTGAACTAAAACATCATTTTAACCTCCCTCAAATTTCCAGTCCGCAGTTGCCATGCTCCTTTTAGACCCCCAAAATATACAATTTATCCTTCTACTGTGCAAGATTCTTTGTTTATAAATCAATTTTAAGGGAGCAAAAATGAATTTCTGTGTGGTCCAGTTGTTGCTATGAGATGAATGTGATATTGCCACTCTCAAAACCTCCTATTAGCAAATACTTTTCTATTTTTTTCTTCTTTTATGCAAAATATAAAAGTTGAATTATCACTCTGGATCCCAACATTTAACCTCTTTTGTGTTTTAATCTCACTTTCAGGTATGTTTAGAATTGAATGCCTTTCCACAATTTTGGCTCAAGGCAAAACTTGCCTCTCCTCACCTGAAGTGGTTTGGAACATGATAATAAGAAAATGGAATGGGTATCAAGCCATATCCCAAGAAATAATTTTTACCAGAACTGCAGTGTTTAAATAATTCTTCCAGGCAAATAAACTAAATAAACTGATCAGTTCTTGCACTTCCCAGTAGCCTCTGCAAGAAAAAAAAAATGGGGGGAAAAAGTTAAAAAAAAAAAAAAGAAGCATAACAGTTATTCAGAAAGACCTAAAAATTACTTAGAATTATTTATTTTATGCTAAATATATGAAATATATGATTTTTGCAAGCATATAAAAAAGTTTTAGGTTCTTCTCTATCCTCTGCTTAGAGAGTTAATCTGGCAGCTAAGGTGGTTTTTGTGCAGTTTTAAGGGATTAGTTAATTTTGTGATCTGATTTGCTGTCTAATTCTTGAAAAATGTGATTAATTCTATTTTTATGACATGAAATACTATTGAAATCCCAGGTAAGGTGGAGAAGACACTACTGAACATTCTCCCAGTGATGATTCCAAGATCTTTCTCAGTGACTGACCCTGAAAGAGTCAGAGGCAAACCTTTAGAAACAGCAGGAACTGAAAAGAAGCAAACACAAAAAAAGGACAAGACAAGAAAGGAAAGAAAGAAATGTGGACACTGTCTCCATGCCCAAGGTGATAAAAGAGGTAAATTTGTTTTCTGGTAGTATGAGATATTTATGGTAGTATGAGATTCTCTTAAGAAATATAATTGTTCCCTTTCTTTGGAATTTATTTTATAATTAGCAAGAGAAGGACAACAGTTTTTCAGTGAAAGGAGGATTTACTGGAAAGTGAAAGGAGTATTCACATATATGTATTATAAATATGATATGATATGATATGATATGATATGATATGATATGATATATAATACATTGTATATAATAGATAATAAATATGTATATATGCTATATTATGTATAATATAATATATAATATATAATATATAATATATCATATATCATATATCATATATCATATATCATATATCATATATCATATATCATATATCATATATCATATATCATATATCATATATCATATATATTCTAATATATTTTATATATTTTTATATATATACATATATATGTATATACACACACACACACACAAGAATAGAATAAATTCTGTTTCAAACACCAGTAAGGGAAGGGAAGACAAAGAGAGAAAAAGAAATTCCCTGCTGTGTTATCCCACAATACTCAGTGATCCAAAGGGAGAATCACCTGGGATGTGGGAGCCACTTCCTCATTCTAGATTCCTCAGCTTTAACCCAAGGACCTGAAAATGGCTCTGACCATGCATCACCTGGCAAGTCTGAAAAAGCCTTTCTTAAGGAAAATGGTAACAATAATGCACAAAAGTGTCAGTTTTGACCAGAAAATTGCCATTTTGTGGCCAGCTGGCTCGTGGTGTATCCTGTGAAATGAATTTGTGCCTCAATGGAATGAGCATGGAGAAGGAAGATGTAAATGTACATGGAATTTATGCCACTGTTAACAGTGAGGAATCTCTCCATGTCTGCATCTTTTCCCATCTAGACCCATTCCTTTCTTAAATCTTTAAATCCTACCAGGTCACACCACAAAAATTAGTAGAAAACCAAAACAAGCGTTTTCTTGCTGAGCTTCAAAATTTCATCTTGATTTACCAAAGCTACAAAATGGAAATAAATAAAAAAATAAAAAATAAAAAATAATTAAAAAAAAAACAAACAGAAGAACCACTAATTGTCTCTGTTATAATCTCTGTTAATGAAAGTAGCAGGCCAGGAAAAATAATGACATTTTTTAATATATAGTTAGCAAAAAATCATTGTTGACCTCTGCCCGTGGTCGATGATTTATTATATATTTGTAGATGCTATATGTCATTTGGATAAAGTGTTTATTTTTGCTTGTCCATGAGTAATGGAAATGAAATACATTTTACAGTACTTCTGACAGCACTTGTAGAAAGGTATTTGCCCTTTTTTCCATCATCTCAGTCCTTTCTGGCAAAATAAAATAGTAAGATAATGTAATTTTGCAAATGCTTGTGTGACAATATTTGTGGTCTTATTGTAGTTTCCCTGCAGTGGAATTGTGTTGCAGAAAATATTGGATTCAACAGAAATTCTTGTAATGATCTGTCCTTTTATTCTGTTGTTTTTTGAAGTCAGGACCTTGCCTGTTTTATCCATGAAACTTTTTAAGTCAGGACCTTGCCTGTTTTATCCATAAAATATGAGGTGATCTATAAATTATAATAAACTTTTTAGCAAAATACTTCTTGAAATGTCATGAGAGCTGTAGTAAAAAGGAATGTGTGCCTGAAAAAGGGGAACACACTCAGATTTATAGTCTTTAATAGTTTTAAATTCTAATCCTGCTTCAGGAAAAGCAAATAAGAGTAATTCAGCAAGAATCCTGGCCACAAGGAGAGGCAAATGGTAGCAACACACTGAGAAGTAGCCCATTAATATATTTTTAATTGCTGTTTAGAAACCACATAGACAACTGCACACCTGTTGCCTGCAATGAGCATTTAAGGTTTATTTTAAAATGTAATTTAATTCAAAGTTGACTGAAAAGCTGTAGAAAACTGGTTAGAAATCCCAGCTGCAGGGATTTCAACCATGTGCTGTTGGGAGCATTTTGGGTTTTGAGTCCTTGCAGACCTGTAAATTATTCTGGTTTTTTAGTTTTACTTTTGTTTTTGTTTTTTATCATGCACCTATTCAAGGTGGAGATTCTGATGGGTTGAATTGGGTTCATCAGATTGTGGCTACATCAGTGAAGTGCACGATTTACAGGAAGAAAACTGATTTCCATGGATTGAAAATTGATTTCCATTGATTTATTTCCATTGGCTGCTAGCTGTGGCCTGCTGCAGCTACAGAAAGACACAGAGATAAAAAAAATATTTAATGCATTTATCTGTGAATCATTTCAATCACAGAAACCTAGAATGGTGTGGGTTGGAAGGGACCTTAAAGATCATCTTGTCCCACCCCCTGCCATAGTCAGGGAACCTTCCCCTAGACCAGGCTGCTCATTGAACATCAGAGTTTTGGGGCATTTTGTGAAGAAACCACAATTCTATAGCTGGATGAGCAGTTTAGGAGTATTAGTTAATTAGCAGTAGGATTTAATGTGAGCAGAAAAAGCACACAGTGATTGATTTGTCTCAAATAATTTCTGTCTCTGAATGCCAACTCACTCTGCTCTCAATGCAGGAGGGAAGAAATGGCCAACTGCAAAAACCTCCAATCTGAACACCTCCTTTATGACCCTGCAGAGCGGGGTGGTTTACCAGGACAAAAACGCCACAGCCCAGCGAATATCCTCAGCCAGGTGATACACAGATGAAAAATTAAAACTCTACAATTCTAATAAAGATTTGTAGGGAATGGCAACTTTTAATTTTTTCAGCGCTGGACGCAGAACAGGATTTCCCTTCAAAGGGCATTGGAGCCCCTTGGGGATTCCTGATCCTTTTTATTATCTCGCACTAATTTATATATACCTAGAATCTTACAATAGGTTCATGCATATTCATTGTGTTGATTTCCAGTTACAATTTACAGTTGGCCCTTTATACAGAGAACTCTCTAATCCCTTTGTCCATTCTTGCAGACTTCTCTTAGTTTCAGAGTTCAAGGGGCTCTTCTTACCTCTTCACCTTGGAGATTACATTCTTTTTTCCTTGGCTGGGACAGTTTTATAAGCACAGCAAAGTTAACAGACTAAACAGCATATTCTACTCATGTTAGCAAGCTACTACGCAGTACACTTCACTTAAATCCAGATAAATTTTCTACCCTGTTAAATTTTATTCTGTTTCACAGGATCCACAAAATCAAAGAGTTGAAGAACGAAATATTCGACTTGCAAAGGAAAATCGAGACCTCGAGCTTCGAGAACCTGGCTTTGAAAGAGCTGAACCGGCGGCACGCCAGAGCCATCGGCAGGTACAGCGACACAGAGAGCCACCTGCAGGAGCTGCTGGCAGGGCATCGCAAGGAGCTGGAACACCTCATGAACCTCCTAAAAATGTCCCAGGAGGCCGAGAGAAACACAGCCCGGGAGCTGAAAAAAGTCGAAGCAGAGCTGAGGAGAACTGAAGGTTATCTGAAGACTTTGGTTGTGCTCTCAGAAGACAAAGCTCTGGCAGAGAGGGAGGAACTTCATTGCAGGTTGTCACTCCTCAATGAAACGTTGGAAGCAAAGGATGAGAAGATACAGGTAATGCCTGCAAATTATTGTATTTGTGGAATGTAGGGTCATAGAATATCCTAAATGTGAGGATAAAGGTAATGCCTGCAAATTATTGTATTTGTGGAATGTAGGGTCATAGAATATCCTAAATGTGAGGATAAAGGTAATGCCTGCAAATTATTGTATTTGTGGAGTGTAGTGTCAGAGAATACCCCAAATGAGAAGATACAGGTAATGCCTGCAAATTATTGTATTTTTGGAATGTAGGGTCATGGAATATCCTAAATTGGGAGGGAATCACAAGGATCATCGAGCAGGAGAGATTTCAGCACAGGAATAGTGGAAAATTTTGGGCTGCTTCTTATCAGATGAATGATTCTGATAAATTCCTGTAACACTGGATGCTGTTTAATCCAGTGCTCTCCTGAGTCTAAGGAAGCTCAAGAGGAGATAATTCATCTCCTTTTAATATCTCATGTTTCTTTACTCGCACAAAAAATATAGGAACACAATTTTTCCTACAAAACTGGAAGAGTGAAATTTCCATGGTCCTCCAGGAATTCATTTCTATTTCCTATGGGGTTTATTATGCATATAATTAAATAAAGAGCCAGGAAATCTTAAGAGAAACTGTAAATGTGAACAGTTGAACTCAGACTCTCTTTTAAAAACTTTCTGTTTCCAGGAGTGAGGAGCTATAAAATCACACAGGGTTTGGTGTCCACCCAATACTTTTAGGAACTGGAATTTCAGTGCATGGCCCTGGGTTCTGAAGATAAAGAACCCAATAAATCTCCAAATTTTCATTTACACTAAGCCTCCTTATTCTGCTACAGTTCATAGGTCTCTGTGAATAGAAAGCCTTAATATTTCTCAAAGATGGTTGTATTAATTAATACATCAGAAAGGTAATGTATGGCCTTATTTTTATGGTTGAATGCCAAAACCTTTTTGTTTGTTTAGTGGAAGTAGGTTTAAAACCAATTTTTTCTTACTTTGCAATTAATTTTTCAGATACTTCAGTATAGTTTAATGTATTGTTTACAATATACTTTATAATATTATTTATATTACTATAATTAGAAGATAATATCTGTTATTATATATAATTATGAACTTACATTTCCTTATATTAGCACACTTATATTTTCAATCAATCAAGAACTGAAGTTTTCCAACTGTCACACTGAGAATGGTAAAATCTGTCACTTTTTTAAGAGTCTGGAAATGCAGCTGAAGCTGAACAGCAACACCTTTAGTCGTCAGCTGGCAAGTGAGAGTAAAAAACTCCTGGAAGCTATAATGACCAAAAAGAACTTGCTAATGGAAATTAACATCGTTCACCAAAAAATTAAGGTATTTCAGATTTTTTCCAGGTTTCTATCTCTACAGGAAAATCCAAGTATTTAATGTTACCTATTCCTTTTGCTTCTTTTACTGTATTTAGTAATGGAATTAGGATTCCTTCTTGTGTCTACAATTGTCTAAAAAATCTAGAAATGTCAAATTCCGGCATTATTGGGAGGTTTATTTGTTAGAAGCAGTTCTATAATGAATTGAAACAGATATTAATACTAAAATAATCAGAAATTGAACTAAAATCCACACCAATGTGTTACCATTTTGCCAGACTGTGGTCAGATATATTCATCTACTCACTTTAAATGAGGTCCCTCACAGAAACAAGTCAAAGTGAGCCAAATATCACAACATGTAAAACTAGAGTTTAACAAAAAGACCTGTGCAAATGTTTCAAGAGTTTGCTTAAATTCCAGTTTCATTTTTAGACAAATGGTTTTGGCATAAATAGGTCCATTTCAGCACTTTTTGTAATGCTTGTAAATCAAACCTACAGGAAAACTAAATGGATTTAAAGCTAAAACTGCCAGAAATGGAATGTGTTATGAGTTGTACTGAATAAAACATTTACACATTCCAGAAAACCTGGAATCCTTTGTGACTTTTTCATAACTGTGTTTGTAACACAGTTAAAATACACTTATTTCTATATTTCTGTGTCAAGGTGATCCCATTGGGGAGCTTTCTCTTCCTAAATGGAATCAAATATCTGTGGGAAATGTTGTTAAGGGGAGTTTTCCCAGACATTGTGAAGGGCAGGACAGGCAGTCCCTGAGGGTTCCTGGAGGTTGGGATTGCTGCACAGGGGTGTTGTTTATTCCTCCTCCCTGTGTAGCAGGTGCAGAAGTTTCCTCCTGGTACTTGGCAGGGCTTTTTTCCCTGTCAGAATTTGATCTCCTCCTGGACATGCAGATCTGGGAGATGGGAACAATTATAATCTTAGGAACACTAATATAAAACTGTCCCAAAATGCAAATTATTCCAAATTATTCTCACCTTGACTCTTCTCTAAAATAGTTCTGTTTCATCTCTTTTCCACACAGTTTTCTGTGTGTTCAGGTCTCTGAATTTTCTATTTAGATCTACAAAATCTTCTACTGATTTACCACAAAGAAGACCAGACATGATTATCAACCTTATTTCTGTACCAGAACAGAGTTTATCCTTACAAATTCATAATTTTAGGCACTTGTCTTATTTGAGGCCATTCCATTTCTGAAATAACTTTTAATTTTCCCAAATAAATGAAGCTCCTATTTTTTTCCCCACTGAAAGCTGAAGTGGTGAGAGTGTAGCTGAGATCTGTCTTCTGTGTTTAAGATTTCCTTAAGGAAGATTTCCTTAAGAAAAGAGGACTCTTGTTAAATTAATGTCAAAATGTGCCTCTGGTTTTCATGTCACCATCAGAACAACAGGTTGTGAACCAACTGAGCATATGACAAGGGCACTGAGTAAATGAATTTTTTTTAAAAATCAACAAAAAAGAGGAAGCAAAGGCCCAAAAATATTTATTCTGGAAAAATGTAAATGACAAAGGCCACGTGGGTCTGGCAAAAGGTGAAATCCCTAATGGATTTCATCCAGCATGGGAAAATTAAGCAGGTAAAAAGTAATTTTTAATGCATATTAGAAGCTTAACAGTGTTTATTTCTTCTTAGGAAAAGGATCGGCAACTTTTCATACAGAATATTTATGCAAATCGGATGCCAAAAACCCTGAGGGACAGAAGTGATTGGGTTCCTAATGACCAAAGTATGTCTGTAATTATCTTCTTCTCTTGTTTAGTTAAGTGACACTTCCACGGTTTTAGCCCTGGGAGGTTTATTCCAAATTAAATGCCAAAATAAATGCTGAAAAGGTGAAAAGGTGAAAAGGTTCAGGAAGTTTAAAGGCTTGAATGACAGCAAATAACAACACAAATTAAGTTCTACCCAGGAAGAAAGATCTCTTGAGTAAAGAATATTTCTTTCACGTGGATGCTCATAGATGCTGGGGAGAAATATCTGTTCTATGCAGCCTTGGCTGTCCAGCATCCCAAGGGCAGCTGCCTGGAGTGGGATTCAGCTGATTAAAACCAAGCAGCACTGTTTGAGGTGCCCCAGTTTGCCTCCACTACACCCAGAATTTGGGATGGAATGATCTAAAAATGGATTTCCCTGGCTGAGGCACCTCTTGAAAACACTGATCAGATATTGCTGCTCCTAAAGTGAAGCAGCAATCAGGACTTTCTTCATGTGGGTACCAAAGAGTCCTCAGCAAACCTATCTGCTGGAAATGCTTCCCACAGAATTCCTCAAATCATGGCAGCAATACAAAATCTTACCACGTTCAGTTGCTTATTTCTTTCCTCTTCATTGCCTTTGCAAACCCATTAACTCTGCCCAAACCTCCAGTGAACTACAGGGAAAAGATTGGTAATTCAAGGTTTTTAAATTAAGAAAAACACATATTCCTGATTCTATCCCAAGTCAGACACATTTTTTATGAAACTGAATTCCTGTTTTAGTTACACCACGTAACTACCATTTTTTAAAATTTTACTCACATATGGCCTCACATTCAATAGAATATTGAATATTGCTGTTCAATTGTGGCACTTGAAACACTGTTATTATTTAAATTCTTCTTTCCTTTGAGTGAGATAAGGGAGCTTAGTTGGAGAGAGATGTGATATTTTGTAATGAAAAGCTTCCAAGCAAAGTTGCCCTATCCTCTGGAACTTTTAGAAAAATGTTTCTTTCTCTGCCAGCTAATGGATTTGGAAACCCAGAGCTGGAATTGCTGACAATTTGTTTTCCTTTTCACTACTAATTTGAATTTTCCTTTAGCAGATTTCTGAGGAGTTGCCTCTTCAGGCCGTTATTTTCTAGTGGACGTTCACAAAAGTTTTTTTAACCAGCAGGAAATTTGGAGTTGGGTTTTTTTAGCGATGCTGATAAATGGCTGGAAGGAGGATTCATTAGGTGGCCCGAAAGCTCTGCGCACGTAACCGGGATGGATTTTTTGGCTGGAGCCAGGGATTGCCCAGCTCCGGCCGGCGGCAGCGCTCACCTGGGGCGGCAGCGCCCTCTGGTCCCGGTCCCGGGGAGCGCCCGGGATCCCGGCTGGAAAAAGCTCCCGGAGCGACTGGGAACCCAGTTCCAGGCTGGTCACCTATTGTAAATGCAGGCGAACCCAATGGGAAGAAATGACGATGTCTGACTCAATTCAGAAGGCTGAATTATTTCTTTATTATAACTATGTTAAAATACGTTAATATGCTATATAAAAAGAAAATACTAAAACTACATACTACTTTCTCTGACTCTATTTCTAACTCTAACACAACTCGTGGCCCTCTCTCTCACACAAGTCTAAACACAGGTGGATTAGATTTGCCATCAGACTCAATCCTCACCAGAATCTAATTAAGCACTCACTCCAGGTAAACAATTCGCTAAACACATTCCACATAAGAAAAACAAGGAGCAAAAATAAAAATTGTTTTCTCTTTCATTTCTCTCTGTGCACCTCTATGAAAAATACTGAGAGGGAGAGAAATGTGCTTACCACAGTCACCAGCATCCCTTTCACCACCCAACACACTGAGGGCACCATTTTTGTGCATTTTATCCTTTGATTTCTGAGCCCAAAACTGGGGAAAAGGGTGAATGTGCATGTGGGTAAGATCCCGTTTTTGCTGCTCTGGTGCTGTACTTGTGTCAAAATTATTCCAAAAGTATACTCATCTTCACCATCTCATATCCATATTTCTCTCAACATCTCATTCAGTCACTTCCTTGGAATCTCTTCAAAGACCACTGGTATTTCAAACAGTGTTAAGCATTTTTCCATGAGCTGGGTTCCATAGAGATCCAAATTTAGGAAAGTGAACTCTGAGGCTTCATAGCAGACCTCTCAAATTTACACTAGAGTGATACCAAGAATTAAGCACATGTGGGCTCTGGGGCATAGGCACACTTGTCTGATTTTACATGTTCCATCTGAAAATATACTTAGTAGTATATTTTATATAGATATTTATGTATATACTTATGTTTGGGATGCACTGATGTACAGATGAAAAGGCTCAGAAATCCAGGTTTGTGTCCAGTTTCAGCATTTATAGATTCAGCAGAACAAATTATTTCTTTTTTAAAGGTCATTAAGATATGCATTTAAAAAAGAGAAGTTAAAATTCTTGGTCACATACCAGTATTGTCAGCTGTCAGAGATATCTTGTATTTATATCAACAACCTAATTCCAGAAATTACTGTATTGCTAATGTTTGTCCTATTCAACAGGTCTGAGAGTAGACAGATCAGTACAAGTAGATAAAGAGAGTTTCAGAGAACTGCTGTTGTCTCAACACCAGGAAACAGAAAAAAAACCAATCCAGCTAAAAAAGGTGGGAAAGATCTGATCCAAATCCAATCCCCTGTTCAAACTCTCAGCTAAGGTGTGTCTTATTCCCTAAGCTGCTGTAATATGCCTGGATAGCCTGATCCATCCTCTAGGATGTGGATTTTGCATGAGTGTGATTACAGTACAGAAATAATGCTGTGATGCAAAATATAATGTAACAGCAATAGAAATTACTCATATTTTTATAAGTATTGCACTGATTGTATTCTTTTAAAAGTTGCTAAACGAGCATTCCCTCATTATTTTTACCTTTAATTGCCAATTGTAGGAGAAAAGAGGAGATAAGGGTGGAGAAGGTAAAGCAAAGGAAGTGTGTTCAGGTGCCCAGGGTAAAAAAGAAAATCAAGCAACCAAGAAAGTACCAATGCCAGAAACTTCTAACAGGACACACAGAGGTAGGTTTAACGTTTCTCTCAGAAATTCACCTGATCTTTGCAAATTACCAGAAGTCCTGGTAATTTGTGTGGTTCTGACAGCCCTTCACTGGCACCTGGCTGACAGGAACTAGCTCCAAATGATGAACGAGGTGTCACTGAAATCACAGAATCATCTGGGCTGGGAAATGCAGCTGCTGGTGGTGCTGCACTGAGAGCAGAGCTGCTCTGCAGGATGTGGCATCTCCACCCTGCTGTCCTTCCCAAAGCTCAGGGGGGTAAAAATTCAGTGTTCTGTCTGTAACAGGATAATTAATAGTTGTTAGTCCACACTAATCAAACATTGATCTCAAAGTGGTAGCTGGGAATCTTCATCACTGATGTGAACATATTTCTATGGCTGATAAAGGACAGTGAGGGCCGGGAGCAGTTCCTCATTAGTGATCCCTGGAAAGAGATTTTGTGGAAATCTCAGCCACTGTGTTCTCATGGAAAAGTTATATGGAAGGGACTCACCTGTAATCATCTCTATTCTGTACAAATTGCATACAACAGAGGAAAGAAAAAGCCACTGCTGTTCCCTCATTCAAGTTTTTCTTTCTAGAAACATTCCTGTTATTTCCTTTAAGGCTTTTAGGAAGAGAAAATATCTGAGTGCCACCATTGTAGACATGTCACAAATGGCAGGAGACCTCCAGGTCACACATTTGCCCAGGTGGAACAGGTGATGCCAGGGCACATCCCTGTAACCAGACATGTGCTAACCCCTGAGGTTTGTACTCTGCCTTTTCAGCCTGCAGCCTTTCCAGAGCCCCCCAGACAACCAAAGTCTGCATTTGTCTTTAAAATGCCCTTTTAAAACTGACAGAAAACACAGGTCTTACAACGCTCCCTCTGAAAAATCTGTGAAATCTGAGTTTCTCTCACTGATAGTAGATTTTATTGAAGATTTACACGGCTTTTTTTAGTTCCTGCAACTTCTTATTCCTCCTTTAAGCTTGGATTGTGTCTCATTTTGGGGGAATTCTGTGAGTCTCTGCAGAGCACAGGACTGATTACAAGTTGTTCCCTGCACAGAAAAATGGCATTTTGCACACATGTTCCTTTTCCTGCTGAAAAGTGGAGCCCCTCATTCCCAAGTGAGGCCAGGGTCCAACTCACCTCATTCCCAGGTGAGAGAACTTCGGTATATTCTGCTCCACACAAGTAACTCTGTTGTGAATTAAGAGAAAGGAAATCCTGCATATCTCCAAATTCCACTTAAAAGCCAGAAAGTGAAAATTAAGAGTTCAGATCTCACCTAGTTTCTCTGTTGCATTATATATGACTTTTGTGGCACTCTATTTATCCATTGCTGTACATAATGGCTGCTAAAACCATTTAACTAAGTTCAACACCACGAAAAAAAGTGAAAATAAAGATGTGAACCTGGATTCAGTGGCGGAATTATGTTGTTTAAATCTTGCCCCATGCTGTGGTATTTCTTAGAGATGGTATTTGAAATACCATCAATAATAAGAACTGAAGCAGTGAAATAAGGATGTGATACTTGCTCTTTTAAAAGCTTCGTAACTCTTCATGTTCTTAAACCCTACAATATTTCAGGGGGCAAACTACTGATGGAAGAACACAAATTTTCAGAATTTATTAAAGAAATGGAAAAAGAGACAGAAGTTCTTAAAAAGGAGTTGAAAACTCTGATGAAATCTGAACGAAATCCTCAAAGAGTAAAAGAGGATAATCAAGAGGGAGAGACGGTGGAAGAAGTTGAAAAAGAAGAGAAAAACCACTACGAGCTGCAAAAAAAGAAAGCCATGAGTGAAGGTGCAAGTCCAAGCAAAGACCCCACTAGGCTGAAAAAAAAATACATTTTCTCAGAAGCTGTTGAGAATTTGCATCAGGGGCTCCACACTTCAGGCGCCAAATGCAAAGCAGGCAGCCAGAGAGCGAGCTGCACTCACACTGCTGTGCCCAGGCGGAAAATCTCCTTCGGGGCTTACGAGCCCTCCTTTGGGCAAACCCTGCCGGGCTGGCAGGACAGCGCCTCTGCGGTGGAAGAAACACCCGATGAAGGAGCTCTGCGGGCAGGAATGTTCGCAGCGACACAATTCCTGCAGTTCCAGCAGCACAGGGGTGATGGCAGACAAGTGAGGGGGGCAAAGCAAATCCCAAACTCCACGCCAGGGTCCAGCTCTCCTCGTTAAAAGCATTTCCTGAGAATACACAATTGTTTCTGATAGTTAAGTACATCAGTTTACCTTTGGAAAGTTTCAACATTCAGATTGTCACAAACCAAATGTTTTACTTTCATTGAATGTTTATTAAATCTTACAAGCGCTGGCAATTGCTTTCCATTTTTTCCAAAACAATCCAACCAGTTGTCACAAAAAAACCCATTCGGTGCTTGGTGTGTTTCCACAAAAATGTGTTGTATTAAGAATTCCTTATTATTCTCACCTGTTACCAGGTAAGTTAGTCCTTGTTTGGGAACTTCCATGTTTTTTGCATTCCCAAGGAGCTGGAATTTGGAAGCTGGGTGGTTGTCAGCTCGCTGAGATGAGCACCCAGCTTTCATAAACTTCACTGCTGGGTGAGGACCCACAATGCAATAAAACAAAACACTTCTTCACTTCCTTCACTCCCCAAACAGCTTCCAGAATTCACAGATCATAAAAATAATTTGCTCCTACATTGTTTTCACGAGCATTAGAAACCTCTAAAGCCTCATTCTTTCCCACTGTTAGAACTTATCAAAGCAGTTTGCCTGGTAACTTCCCCAGCTGCCATCCCGGATGAATGTGCGAGAGGAAAGCATTGTTTTGGACAAGTCAGGCATAGCCAGTCCCCAAAAAGCCTCTAAAAATCCTTATTTAAGGTTATGTAAGCGAGGGGAGGAGGACTGTGCTTTGTTCCTCACACTAATTTATTAAATACTTGCTAAATCCGTGTGAAGTTTGGAAAAATTAGGGGCATTCTGTCCAAAATTACACTACAAAAGTTTTTAAAGATGACAAAGACACTCAGAGCCGAACCTGTTGCAGCAACATTTCAAAGGTTTAGAAAAAAAATTTTAAACATAAATTAGTTGAGTTGATTCAAACAGTATTTCCTTATGTTGTTTTGGTGAGTTTGGGGTTTGTTTTGTCATTCTGGGTTTGTTTGTTTGGGGTTTTTGTGGGTTCTTCAGGAAAACTGCAGTTAACATTAAAAAAAGAGATGAAAAAAACTAAGATGAGTTGAAAAGCTTTATTTCCTTAATAAAATCACAATTATACATAACATTCAATCACAGCATTTTTTCCTTGATATTTATTTTCATGTTGGCTAAATGCAATTCCTAATATAAAATCCCAATTTTTAAATTAACATTAAAAAAATTAATTCATATATATATATACACACAACATAACCTGACCTATTGAATTGGTTTTTAAAGGCAATTTTATCACCAATTTTGGAGGGGTCCTGGTCCCTTCCTTCCTGCAGGGAGGAAAAGGCTCTGGAATAGCAGAAGAGATCATTCCTCTGGGAATTCCAGAGTGGGAAGCTAAATCAGCATCCCCTCTGCAGGAACAGCACTGTCCTCTGCTTCACTGACAGCATCCTGTGCTTGGCAGCTGAAGAAACCTCCTAAGAGATAAAATCTTCATTAAACTCAGCTATTTTTTTTAGGAGAGCTCAAGAATATTCTAACTTTAAGGTAAAAAACCCCAAATAAACTCTCTTTTGCCCCAAGCCAAGCAAACAACCTCCCTCTGCCCTCTGCACCACCCAACATGGTCCCACCTTGGGGTGAAGCTACCACATTTTACAGCAAAAAACCAGCCAAGCTCCCAAATTAATTCCTAAAGCCAGCACATTTCCAATTTAAAACCACAACTTTTAGATGTTGGTGACAAAAGGCCATGACAAAACCTTATGGTTCTGCCATGCCTAAACCCAACTTGAGGTTTTACAACCAGTAATGCTGCTTTTTCCAAAATGAAAGACAAACTCTGGGAAGCAAAATCAAAAGGACTGACAGATATCCAAACGGAATAACAAGGATTTTCTCAGACCTTGTCTCATGAAAGATAACTGTCCCTTTTTGTTTTAATTGATTTAAAGCAGTGATTATGTAAATGCAGCTGGGGAGTCCATGGATTGCTGGGATTCTTTCAGCTGAAGGGGTGCAGCATGATAGCTACAACTTTATTGCAGACCACGAGCCAGCAGGTAATTCCCACACCTCCTGGAAAAGAGGGAGAAACCACGATTTAAATTGTTGGATCAATAACCCTGAGGAACCTGTGCAGCTGCAAACAACATTGGAAGTGTAAAAAATGAAACTCAGAACTCATGAGGCCAACAGGAACTAAACTCTTTATACAGAAAAGGGAGATGCAAGAGATGGGAGATAAATCAATGCTGGTCCCAAAAAATTCTGGATTGTCTTGGGAAAAGAGCACCAAATACACAAATATGAGATAAAGTGTGGTGACTGCATCCCAGAGCTAAAACCCTCTGCTACAGACCCAAGAGAAAATATCTAAGTTTAAGGCTCAGCAGAATGCTTTGCTTGAACTTAAATTCAGGATTTGAGAAATGTAAAAAGTAAATTTCCTCTGAAGTTGAAATCAGCTGTTTTGTAAGTACATAGCTATTCGTAGCAGACCTGTAAAGAAAACTCCCTTTTGGGTGATTTGCTGATTTTCTAATTTAAATTAGGTCTATTCAATACAGAGAAAGGCAATGCTCTGTTTGGGTGGAAATAAAAATGACAAAATTTTGTTATCACTTCAAGAAACCAGAGCTGAGCACACACAGAAGAGCTGCTCTAATACTTGAACCCTGCGCTCTGGGAGTCGGAGAAGCAGCTGCTGTTAATCCCTCCATGCTCTGGGGCTTGGGAATGTCCTTTTCCTCACCTGCCACTCCTGTAGGGAAGGCCACCAGGCGCTCCAGGGGAGCCAGCCATTTGCTTGGAAGCACGGTGACAGGCTCAGAGTAGTACTTCCAGATCAGAGAGATCATCAGGGCAGCCTGGAATGGGGATTTTTATTAGTTTGGATAATAATACACATCCTGGAAACAGCAAATAATCAATTCTAAAGGAAGGGAATTGTTTCTTTGCTATTTTATTTTCTTCAAAATATTTTTAGATTTGGCACGAGCTTAAATTTATACCCAATATTACAAGGTTGCAGGGAGAGATTGTTTTCTTTCAAGACCCTCTTTCCAATCCGACAGAGTCAAAGAAAGTCATAGCATTTGTTAAAATTCTGATGATCCTTTTTAGCCTGAATTTTTGCCTACAAGAAGTCCAACTCACTGTAACAGGCCCCTAAGGAAATCTTCAGGCTGACCACTGCCATCCTCGTTAGCAAATTCTTGTTAGCAAATTCCTTGGCATCACGTCAGAACTACTGAGACAATCTCATGAGGCACCGTAGGGAAATGTGTGGCAGCTGTAGGTGGAGATTCGCATCCTCAGCAGAAGTATATTTTGGTTTCAAAGCCACAATTATATTTATATGTAGCAGAACTTTCCTGGGGCCATATATACAAAAACCTCAGTGATAAAAGAGCTAAGATAAACTCCAAACTCTTGTCCCCCCAAAACTAGCAACAGAGTTGAGATGAAAGTTAAACTCCTTCCATACTCAGCGACCAGATTTTATCAGCAGCATTTCCCTTCCAGTTCCAGAAACTTCCTTTTTGACAAACTTTGTGTCCTTGGAATCCCAGAATGGATTGCACTGGAAGGAATTTAAAGATCCTCCAGTGCCACCCCTGCCATGGCAGGGACACCTTCCACTGTCCCAGGCTGCTCCAGCCCCAGTGTCCAACCTGGCCTTGGGCACTGCCAGGGATCCAGGGGCACCCTGTGCCAGGACCTGCCCACCTGCCAGGGAGGAATTTCTTCCTAATATCCGATCTGAACCTCTAAATTTTCAGTCTGAAGCCATTCCCTGTGTCCTGTCCCTCCATGCCCTGGAAATTGTCTCTCTCCAGGTTTCCTGGGGCTCCTTCAGGCCCTGCAAGGCCACCCTGAGCTCAGCCCAAAGCTTCTCCTGTGCAGGGGAACAATCCCAGCTGTGCCAGCCTTTCCTCCCAGCAGAGCTGCTCCATCCCTCTGCTCATCCTGGAGCCTCCTCTGGGCTCTCTGCAGCAGCTCCAGCTCCTCCTGGGCTGGGGGAGCCCTGAGTGACCAGCTATGGGCCAATAAACCAGGAGAGAATTGTAACACTACTGAGGATTTGGGTTAAGTTGTATCCAAACAAAATATTTACTTACCTGCAATATGTAGAATACAATATTTATGACCCACTTTATTTTGGCTAATTGTGCTGTTCGTGCCTTCACTGTTAAAGAAAAAAAATATTAGTTTCCATTGTTTATAATAATGAATTATAATTGCATTAAATTAATAATTTTGTAATATTTCACTCTTTAAGTCTGGACATTACCCTGTTTAAAAATCTCTCTAAAAGATTTCTAACCATATTAAAAACACCCTTCTACAACAAACTGCCAATTCTGTATCATACTGTAATTTCTATCTTGACTTACTCAAAACACATTGAGTGATGGGCATCACTGAGAAAGAATAAATAATTACACAGAGAAGCCCAGGAAATTCCTGGAAAGACACAAGTAAGCTTGGAAAGGGAAAGAGGAAAGGGAAAGAGGAAAGGGAAAGGGAAAGGGAAAGGGAAAGGGAAAGGGAAAGGGAAAGGGAAAGGGAAAGGGAAAGGGAAAGGGAAAGGGAAAGGGAAAGGGAAAGGGAAAGGGAAAGGGAAAGGGAAAAGGAAAAGGAAAAGAGTTAGATGGGGAAGGCAAGTTTGAAGGATAAATACTTAAAGCTGAAAACACTCCTGACAGCTTTTCAGAAACAGAAATTGTTTTTCCTTTTGGAACAGGGAGCAGACATGGAACTGTACCGTGGGTTTTGAGCTTGTCAGTCATTTTGTTAATCTTCCTCTCCAGCCGGGCATATCTGGCAAACTCATCCATCATACTGATGGTGGCAAGCTCCTGCTTCATGGTCTGGATCTCAGCTCTCATCTGGGATTCCTGCTCTGCATCCTTCTGTAACAGCCTGGATATCTAAGAAATGAAGGAAATGATCAATTACTGATCCAGAATCTCACTGATTTGCTTTAGTGTGTATAAAGTATGATCTCAAAAACCTCCCATAAAAAAAGGCTTTCACTGAGATGCAGGAAATCCTTGGGCAACAAGAGAACCAGTGACAAGATGAGAGGAAACAGCCTCAAGCTGGACTCAACGATCTTGAAGGTTTTCTCCAATTTAAATGATTCTGTGATCAATCCCATTTCCAGCTCCAGCAGCCAAGTATTCCAACATTTTCTCCCTTCCTTTTACTTTCCTAATTTCTTTTCTTGAGGCACCACCTGCTTGTTGGCTCATGAACTCTGTTTGCCATAGAAATGCAGGCACAAAGGACACAAAATCTTTTTCTTGCTGTTCCTTAGCAAATCTTCCCCAAGACACATGTAATTTATTTCCCCAGGGATGCTGTTCTCAGGCCTGCAGACAGTGAGAGCATTAAGGGAATCTTCAGCCTCAAACCACAGCAGAAAGCTGAGCAGAGATCTTCAGAGAATCTTAGAATATCCTGAGCTGGAAGGGACCCACAAGGAATTGAGTCCCACTCCTGGCCCTGCCCAGACCCCCAACAATCCCCCCTGGGCACCCCTGGCAGCGCTGCCCAAAGGCTCCTGCAGCTCTGGCAGCCCTTCGGGGCCGTGCCCATTCCCTGGGCAGTGCCAGCACCTCTGGGGAACAGCCTTTCCCTAAAACCCAACCTAAATCTGCCCTGGCCCAGTTCCAGCCCTCCCTGGGTGCTGTCCCTGTGCCAGAGCTTGGAGCTGTCCCTCGGGAGCAGCTGCAGATCCCAGTCTCAGCCTCCTCCAGACTGAACGAACCAAACACCCTCAGCCTCTCCTCCTATGGCTGTTTCATCAATCATCTCTAGCAGCACTGAGTCCAGCTTCCCAAATTGCTGAGGGTGATTTAAGGTTTAAAGGACTTTTGTCCATTTTTGAAGTTATTTCTGTGGTAGAGCAGAGCGACAGGGATTTCAGCATCTTTGTACACGCATGAGTTGATCTGGCAGCCACGGAGTTTATTTGTCCTCAATTCCATTATCCAGGTTTCCACAGGAATGCTTCAGATCAGCACAGGGGCACCCTGATCAGTGGTTAAGATTATAAAGATTTATTCCTACATTGACTTAATTCCTTAATATCCGTATCCACTGATCTCCCACCTCAACAATAGGCACGTCCATCGGTTGAAAACATGCAAGAGTGAGCAAAGCTGTCCTTCCCATACCAAAAACTGGGAAGCTGTGGATGCCCCATCCCTGGAGGAGTCCAGGAGCAGCCAAGCCCGCTGGTGGAGGGTTGGAAGCGGACCATCCTTAAGGTTCCTTGCAGCCCAAACCATTCCATGATGCACCCAAGGGCTGGAGGCTCAGGAGCATCACTGACCTCACCCATAACTCATTCCCCGCGGTGGAACCGGGGCTGCGGGAGCCATCCAGCCACGGGGCTGCGCCCCATCATCAGCTTCTCCTCTCCAAGACCAGCAGCAGCACCAGGCCCTGCCCGTCCCAGCCTGGAGCTGACAGAACCCCCTCAGCGCCCCGCCGCCATTCTGGGGTACCCTCCCGCTTCCCCAGCAGCGGCACCACTCACCAGGGAGGAGCAGGAGGGCAGGAGGATCTTGAGCGCGTTGCAGAGGAACACGGCGCTGAGCACCAGCAGCCAGGCGCCGCTCTCGGCCGCGGGTTCTCTCTCGACCGCGGGTTCGCTCTCGGCCATGGCCGCGCTGCCCGCCATGGCCCCGCCTGAGGGGGGGCGGCGCGCGGGGCGGGGCGGGGCGCGCGGGGCGGGGCGGGCCAATGGCGGGGCGGGGCGGGAGGCGCGCGGGGCGGGGCGGGCCAATGGCGGGGCGGGGCGGGAGGCGCGCGGGGCGGGCGGGCCAATGGCGGGGCAGGGCGGGCGGTGCGCGGGGCGGAGCGGGCCAATGGCGGGGCGGGGCGGGCTGCGCGCGGGGCGGGCGGGCCAATGGCGCGGCGCTTGCCCCGATCCGGCTGGATCCTGTTGCGGCGCCGCTGGCGCTGCTGGGATGGGGAGGGGGGCGGCGGCTCCGCTGCGCAGCCGGGCTGGGGCGCGCAGGCGGCCGCAGACGCGCTCGCAGCAGCCGCGCCACACCGGCAGCCGCGAGCCTCGAGATGCCGAAGAGGAAGGTGAAGGCGAGCGGAGCGGACGGGCGGGAGGGGACCGGGCTCGGCGGGAAGCGCTCCGATGCGGTGCCGGCGGCCGGCGCCTGCCCCTTGTGCCGGGTGGCTCGGCGGGCCAGAGGTGTGGGAGGCTCGGGGGGCCGGTGCCGCCCCGCCCCGCTGACGCTGTGTGTGTGTTGCAGGTGACGGTGGCGGACGGGGACGCCCCCGAGGAGGTAAGGAGCGGGCAGGGCGGCGGGGCTGCCCCGGCCCGCCCGCCCCTCACGCCCTTCTCTCTCTGTCTTTCTCTCCCCGTGTCTGTGTCTCCCCCCGCAGCCCAAGCGGCGATCGGCGCGGCTCTCCGCGGTAAGTGAGTGCCGAGCGGCGGGACCCCGCCGGGATGGCTCCCCGGGGGCCGGATCCCCGCCTGACTTGTTCTCTCTCCTCAGAAACCCGCGCCTGCCAAAGCGGAGCCGAAACCCAAAAAGTTACCGGCAAAGGTGAGAGTGAATTGGAAGAGGGAAGGGAGTGCTCGGGGGCATCCCGCGTGGTGTCCTCCGTGCACCGTGCCGGAATGGTTTTGTTCCTTGTGGGAACGCTCCCTTGGCTGAAGTGTTGCTTTGATGTGCTTTTGCCAGTATTTACAGGTACATTCCATCACGGTGGCTGTAGATTCTTGTTAAGCTCCAGGCATTGCATGGAAGCGTGGGCAGGGATCCATACGTGTTACATTGTGGTTTGGTATTGGGTGGAACTACCTGACTGTCAAAGCAACTGTGCGTTGGGACATCAGGAGGAATTTCTTCACAGAAAGGCTGGTCAGGCATTGGGAAAGCCGCTCAGGGAGGTGGTGCAGTCACCATCCCTGGACGTGTCCAAGGATAGGCTGGGATGTTGTTTGTTCTGCTCTGGTTGACAGGGCGGTGCTCTGTTAAAGTTGGACTGGAGTATCTTGGAGGATTTCTCCAAAATGAATGATTCTGTGCACAGCGTTGTATTAACAATAGGGGATAAAATATACCTACTGATGTTTTAAAGCAGTGTGTTAGGACAGGGAAACAATTGCATTAGCCACTTAAAAAACATATGAACTTCTATTCATATGGTCAGGCTTTCAGGTGTTTGTAAGAAAGTGGGTTTATGTGATCTTTGAATTTTTCAGCACAGCTTTCTCAGTGAAAATAAGCGAGGTGTAAAATTCTTTGGTTTTTGGGAGAATTGAAAATGGCCTTGTGTCTGTTGCTTGCTGCTGTTTGTGTTGTTAAGTGTTCCTTTGTCATCCTGAGCTTTTCTTGTGATGTATTGATTAAAAGCTTTGGGGTGACCTCATTGTGACATTTCAGTACCTGGAGGGAGTTGATAAGAAAGATAGAGACAATTTCCAAGGGATGGAGAGACAGGACACAGGGAATGGCTTCAAACTACCAGAGGGCAGGGCTGGATGGGAGATTGGGAATTGGGAATTGTTCCCTGGCAGGGTGGGCAGGGCTGGGATGGAATTCCCAGAGCAGCTGTGGCTGCCCCTGGATCCCTGGCAGTGCCCAAGGCCAGGTTGGACACTGGGGCTTGGAGCACTGGGACAGTGGGAGGTGTTTCCATTGCATTAATCCTATCAGTTACTGATCAGAAATCCACCTTCATCCCAGTGGTTTGGGTATCTGTGCTCCCACTCTCAGGGCTGTAAGCCTAAAGAATTTGGGGAAGCTTTCCAATGACTGATGTGTGATACTGATTTTCTGCTTAAAACTACTTCAAACTAACAGTCAAAGTTTTTTTATTCGATTCATCAAAAAACACTTTTTTTATCAACTTTATCCGTTTTTAAAACTTCCCTCACAGTATTTCCAGTTGTGAGAAGTTTGCTCATTATGGAGTTACTTAGTGGGCTTTTTAAATAAATACTATGAAGAAAAATATGCCATTCAAAGTACAGAAGTCAGTGTGTTGCAATTTTGTAATTCTGAAATATTTTGTAAGTGGGTGATCAGGGGTTGTTGGTAGCTTAGCAAATCCATCTTGGTTTTTTGTGTTTTTTATTGTTTTCAAGATTTACCTGGAAGGTCATAACAATTGACTTACTGGAAATATATTTGATTTTAGGATAAATCTGGGGACAAGAAAGCTCCATCAAAGGGGAAGAAGGGGCCTAAAGGAAAACAGACAGAAGAGACAAACCAAGAGCAGACAAAGGACAACCTGCCTGCAGAAAATGGGGAGGCTAAAACTGAGGAGGTGAAGTTTGGAGGGCTGGGTTTGGCTTTTGCTGTTACTGAGAAGTTGGGGGGTTTTTCCCTACCAAAGTTTCTTGACAAATGAAATATTCTTTTTCTTGGGTCTGGAAAGAGTCTTGAGTGAAAACCCAGAGCTGATTTTGGCAAAGTTGAGGTGATATTGACAGACACTGCTGGGAGAAGGGACAGGTGGGTGCAGGGACAAAGTACAACAATTAATGAGTTGTTGTTGCTGGAGAAGTGACTGTGCCAGGTGAGTCTTGGCTACACCTCAGTGCCAGAGTGGCTGAACTTTTTGGAATCATTGATCAGGTCACTCACAGCATCCTCCACTCTGTATTATATTCCTGGAATGCAGACATAGTCAGTTACAAATAGAGGCCAAAATCTGCAGGGATGAAACACAAGTGTGGTAACGGGCCTGGAGTTGGTGTCAGGTTTCTGTGACAGAAACATTTTCAGGAGTTCAGTGGAATATTTTGATTTTAGGTAGATGATGGGGTTTGGTGGGCAAGGAAGGTACAGGATGGTACTTGGCTGAGCAGGAGGATTTACTCTGGGGTAACTGCCATTTGCAAGCTTGCAGTGTGAAAAAGCTGTGCTCTGACTACAAGTTCTTCAGCTGACTCAATTTTTGGCATTATTGCAGTCTTTCAGTTTGTGCTTGTAATATTTCAGCAGTGGAACCAAATTTGGCAGCATTCCCATCTGGGGTCCCTTTAGTTCACTGGTGCAGAGATTTTATGTAAATTTACAAGGAATGGACCATGACTTGGTCACACCACCCAAAATCCAGGTGTAATTTTATACCAAAGTCTGGAAGAGGCAGAGGCAGTCTGTCCTGTTGGATGTTACTATTTGCTAAGAATTAAAACAGGCTTAAGATTTGAAAAATATTTTAAGTGTGGCACTGAAATTTAAAGGCATGAAGTGTTACCTCATAGATTTTCTAAACACCTCCAATGTAATTGTAGCTGGGTAAAAGCTAAAGTTTCTTCGGTCATAAAGGCAGTAATCCAATTAAAATCCCTTGCAGTGTTGTTTAGTAACAAATCAACATCCTGAAATCCATCCTGGTGGATCCAAGGAGCCTTTTTGTCACAGCTTGGTTTAGCAGGTCATGATCCAAGAGAAATCTGTAAGAACAAGTCAGGGTTATTCTGTGCAGGGTTTAATGTGCATTAAAACCACTCCAAACTAATCAGAGCCATTAAAAACTTCCTGCACTGAAATGTTCTGGTTTATTTTCCCTTTCCAGACCCCAGCACCTGATGCAGCTGCAGAGAAAGAAGTGAAGTCTGAGTGACACCTGGTCCCACATCTGTAACTGGTGGTCCTTAAACCTTACTTCTTGTACAATTCAGAGGAATATTTTTATCAACTATTTTGTAAATGCAAGTTTTTTAGTAGTTCTAGAAAACACGTTTTTAAAAAGGAGAGAATCCCGACTCAACCCATTTTTTTACATAAGTGTAAATGCTTTTTTTAAGTGGTAAAGTCATGTACTGGTTGTCTGTTTTCTATGAAACCAGAAATTAACGGTGTGTTAATTAAGGAGAGGGCTTTGAGGCCTTGATTAAGCCTCACGTTCCACAGACTCCAAGGGACAGTTTTCTATCTTATAAAATGAAGCATAACACAGATCAGACTTTGGAATTCATAATGATGTGTTGAGAACGTCTTAACATTTTAGTTATTTATCTTTCTCTATGGTTGTACCATCAGTAGAATTGCTTATCTAATAAAACTGCTCCCTAGTGGTGGATTTCTTGCTGAGTGATGTATATCAGTGACAAAGTTATTTTTGGTAGTTGCAGCTTTATTTTTTTCCCAACAACTTTGTAGCTGTGATGCAAAAGATTGGAAACTTTTATTTTATATCTTTAAATACTGTCTTAAGTAAAAGTTTTTGCTTGGCAGTTGGAACTTGTTATGTCAATTTTGAGATACTGGAACTTCACATCTAGTTTTCAAGGACAGCTTGTCTACAAAGATAGAGTGAAAAATATTTGAAATAGTGCTAGGAAAAAAAACAAAATTAGTTTTTAGATTTAAAAAAGCTCTGTTAATAAAAACAATTGTAAAATTGTTGATAGTGTTTGTGATCATCAAACAAAAGCCAAATAAACCTTGATTATGAAAGGATGTTTCCATAGCTCCTGTATTGACTGAGAACTCACAATCTGAGTGCTGTGGTTTGGATTTTTAACTGTGTCCTTCAGAGTGTTAAAACAATACTTTTGAAGAGATGGGTGGCAGTTCAGGGAGTGGAGAATTGTAGTGTTAGTCTAAACTTGCACTTTTGAGAGCTTTGTGTCGCTGCTGTTTGCTTTAAAAAAAGTCAATAATGAGTAATTACATCTCAGATGTCAGCCAGACAACTGTCACCTTGTCCTGGGAGGAGCCAAGCTCAAACAGTAACGTTTGTTCTTTGTTGGTTTTTTTCCTCCTCTCACCCCAGAATTGTTTATGCTCTTGAGTAACACCTGCAAGCCCAGTACCTGCTTCCTGTACATTTTTAGTGCCTTTTTCAAATTGTTGCAGTTATTTCTGAAAAAAAAAAAAAGCCACTTTAGTTTCACCACTAACTTGCTTTCTTAATCAATACTCTCATTTCAGGAAGAATTTTACCATGTTTACCTCTTCAATACTTTAGCAATCTTTAACTTTTCTATAGGAGGTCTCCCAACCTGTTCTGTTCCTCACAGAGCACACCTGGCTTTGGCTTCAAGTTCTTGGATATTTCAAAACTGGAAATTGATGCCACTTTTCTAACTCCTCCCAACATCCCCTTCCAGGTACCATATTTCTTGGTTTAATTTAATAGTAACACAGTCTAGCTCAGTGATGTTATTTACTCTCTGTTTTGGCAAGCTCAACACACCAGTTAAATAAGTAATAAACTTGCAGATAAATCCCCCAAAATAACCACTCATCCCTGCTTTTACAGAATGTCTATTTTTCACATGTTTTGCGTCTCTGGTGCTGGGATCTTGTGGACTTTCAGCATCTCCCTCACATCTATTATCCACTGCTTAATTTACTGTAACTTCTCGATATCACTCTGTCCTGTGTGATACCAGATTTATTTGCTCTTCAGCTAAGGACTGGAGGGAGAGCTGATGCAGATTTGCATCCAATGGAGCACAATCTGATCCAAAATACAACAGCAGGAGAACAAGACTTGTTTCTTGGAAGACAATAAATTGTCTGTGTATACTGCTAGTAGTTGTTTGGGTTAAGGGAATGAGACATAAAAGTAATTTACTTCAAGGTTCTAAAAATGCATTTTAAGGTACCAGAGGTGGGGAATGAAATAGGTTAAGAGTTTGGATTTCAAATGTAACACAAGTACAGCCACTGCTGTTTTTATCAGCGTTCATGCTGGGCATGGCTGGGAAACAGCTGTGGGAAAGAAAAAACATGAAGAATGGTTCAGGTTGGAAGGGACCTGAAAGCCCATCCAGTGCCACCCCTGCCATGGCAGGGACACCTTCCACTGTCCCAGGCTGCTCCAGCCCCAGTGTCCCACCTGGCCTTGGGCACTGCCAGGGATCCAGGGGCAGCCACAGCTGCTCTGGGTACCCTGTGCCAGGGCCTCACCACCCTCCCAGGGCAATTTCCAATATCCCATCTAACCCCATTCTCTGTCAGCTTAAAGCCATTTCCCCTTGTCCTGTCACTCCAGGCCCTGCAAGGCCACCCTGAGCTCAGCCCAAAGCTTCTCCTGTGTAGGGGAACAATCCCAGCTGTGCCAGCCTTTCCTCCCAGCGGAGCTGCTCCATCCCTCTGCTCATCCTCATGCCTCCTCACAGGCTGATGTCCTGGCTCCCAAAATCCTGTCTCCAGGAGCCAGGCTCAAGATGGCACAAGCATGGGGACAGAGCTCCATTTTTTTGGCTTAGTGGTGCCAGGGAAGCAGTGCTGCTGGAATGGTGTGGGAAATACCCCTCCCGGGGCTGGTGTTTGGGGCAGCTCAGGTGCCCCCCAGCATCCCCAGCCCCCCAGCCTGTGGAGCTCTGCTGTCACAGCAGGAGGCTGGGCCATCCCTAAGCTCCAACAGCATTGATGCTTCCAAATGTCTGCAGACACGGCACACCCCGGGCACCACGCAGGACAGTGTACTTTGAATCACAGTATCACAAAATCGTTTAGCTTGGGAGCTGAGGTCATCGAGTCCAACCTTTGACTGATCAACACCTTGTTAACAACCAGAGCACATCCCGTTGTTCCTTGAACTCCTCCATGAAAGGCGACTTCAACACCTCCCCGGGCAGTGCATTCTAATGTTTAATCACCTTTCAGCGAAAAAATTCTCCCGATGTCCACCCTGAGCCCAGCCTGAGGCCGTTCCCTCTCCTCCTGTCCCTGTTCCCTGGAGCAGAGCCCGACCCCCTGGCTGTCCCCTCCTGGCAGGAGCTGTGCAGAGCCACAAGGTCCCCCCTGAGCCTCCTTTTCTCCAGGCTGAGCCCCTTCCCAGCTCCCTCAGGAATTCTCCAGCCCCTTCCCAGCTCCGTTCCCTTCTCTGGATAAGCTGCACCCCCCCGCAGTGAGGGGCCCAGAGCACTCGAGGCAAAGGCCCTGGCGGCACACATCCACTCCGTCACCACATCGCCCCCTGGACCCGGTTTCTGTGCCTCGCCGCGGGTCTCGGGAGAGCTGTCCCGGGCTAGGAAGGCCGAGGCAGCGGCGGCAGCCCCGCTGTTCCCGGGGCCGATGGAGCAGCGCCGCCGCCGCCTCTGCCCCGCCGCCCTCAGCGCTGCCGCCTCGCCGCCCTCAGCACCGCCCCCGGGCGCGTCACCGCCGCCTTCCTCGCGCGATCCTTCCGCGCCTCCTCCTCTCCTTCTCCTCACCCGGCGCCTTCCCCGCCATCCCCCGTCGCCACCCGCCCCACTGCCTTTCGTGTATATTCCCCGCGGCCACACGCCGTCACCGCTGTTCCCTCGGCGCGCCCAAAGCGCCCGGTACTGCGGGAACTATTTTACGCCGCCCCCCCCACAGGCGCTCTCGGCGGAGGTGGCGACGGCGGCTCCGTGGCGGGTGGTGCGGCGGCGATGGCGGCGGCGCCGCCGAGGCTGCGCTGAGGGGGGAGAGGGAGGGAGGGAGCGCTGAGGGGAGCGGGGGGGCGGCCGTGAGGGGAGGGAGGGAGGAGGGGAGGCGCTGACAGCGCCGTGCCGAGCCGGGCCCGCCGCCCTCAGCCCGCCATGGCCGAGCCTGCGGCCTCTTCCAGCTCCGGCGCGTCGCTGCCGCTCATTGAATCAGGTAACACCGCGGGCCGGGGTGCGGAGGTGCCGCCGGTGCCGCCATCTTCCTGCCCCCCCCACCCCTCTCCTCAGGATGGGTCACGGCCGCCCCCCGGCTCATCCCCCGTGTCTCTTACAGAGCTTTACTTCCTCATCGCCCGGTTCCTGAGCACCGGGCCCTGCCGGAGAGCGCTGAAGGTGAGTGCGGGGCTCAGCGGGGCGCGGGCACCCCGCGCTGCCCGCGGAGGGTCGGGGGGAGGTGGGAGCAGCCGCGCCCCCCGCTCTGGAGGAGCCGAATCCTGGCTTGTCCCTGACTCTTGTGTTTTTCCCCTTCCCTCTGCAGGTGCTGGTGCAGGAGCTGGAGCAGCACCAGGTCTGTGTGCGCTCTGATGAAATCTTGCTGTAGTCAAAAGTTTCCTTTGCAAGTCATTCAAGTTTCTGCCGCTGTCTCAACTTTTCCCCATCCCCTCAACACACATTGTTTTGGATGTGGTCTGTAGTCCCTCCTTTCCCCTTTAACCGCTCACGGTTTTTCTGTTTGTTTTTCCTTTATTTAGTTGCTTCCCAAAAGGTTGGACTGGCAAGGAAATGAGCATTATAGAAGTTATGAAGAATTGGTGAGACTTTTCTCTTTAAAAAAAAACCTTTTATTTGCGGTGATGACATCGATGTTAGACCCTCTACCTTCAAGAGTAGGCCCAAATCTTCACCTTCCTGTAGTATCCTGGCTCTGAACACTGGAGTTACTTTAGAAATGGCCTTTAATTTCTTTACATCAGACTAACAAAAACACAAGTGGTGGTTTAAATTGAGGATATTGTTTACATAGCAGAGGTGGAGCTTGGCGTTGTGCAGTGGTACATGCCGCTGCCTACATGCAGGCAGGAGCCAATCTACAGCGAGGTTTCATTTTGGAGTTTCAGGGACCAGGTTGTGAGGCACGTTGTGATTTGTCGGTATTTATTTTCTGGTTGGTTTCTTTCAGCCCCCTCCAACATATTAGGAAATGAAATCACTGTTCAGAAACCGAGGGTTGGCACTTGTGGTGACTGTGAATGTGCTCATGTCGCCGGCTCCTCGCTGGTCATGGCTTTGTTTCTAAAGTGCTGCAAAGAGGGAGGTGATCTCTCCACAAAATGTACTTTCTGCCCTTCCACGGTTGGTGTGGTGTGTTCTGATTTGTTTTTACAGAAGGCAGAGCTGTGTTTTGGGGCTTAATTTTGCTGCTTCTTAAGTGGCAAAGAGTTTGAATGCCAGTGGGTGATGGCATGATGGTGCCTGCCCTTCCCAGTGTGGTTTTTATCCTGCTTTATTGTATTTGATAGTGTTTCCTGTAGAGAGTTGTTTATCCTTGCTTTTTCTCACCTAAGGTTCGGGCATTCCGGGTTAATTGACTGATGGTTGCAATGAACTCCCTCTTGTGAAGCACTTAATGATCTCAGGATGATATTTGCATAGAGAAGGAATGAAATGTTGTTTAAAACACTTTCTTAATTATCTAAGTATTGCTTGAAATGATAAGTGTGATTCCATTTCCTCTCTTTGTTCTTGTGGCCAGTTGAGCAAGGAAGGTTTTAGATCAGTTTTTGTAACTCACTAAGAAGCCTGGCCTTGCTAAACAGGAATATTTTCGAGCTCTGACTTGAATTTAGGCAAGATGAAAGTAGCATTAAGCTTAGAAAGAATTATTGGGAGGGTTTCTTTTTGTTGCTTCATTGTTGGTTTCTTACCCCATTTCTTCTGGCAAAAAGAAGGGTGTTGGGAGATCCCATGTGTGTGTTTTTCTGATTTCAGGGCTGCTTTTTAACTGTGATTATTCTGCATATACAATTGTCAGACTAATTCTTTAACATGTGCTGCTTCTATCTCTTTTTTCCTGCACAATTTAAAGGAAATCTCTGCACAGAGAAGTAGTGTTTCAGAATATCTAAATTATTCTCAGGGTTTTAGTTTCTGGTTTTTTGAGGGGCTCTGGGAACCTCTTGTCCCACTGGTCTCACTCTGAATTTGCAGAGACCACAGACAAATCAGTCATGTGCTGTAATTGTTTCTATTCCACTTTGCTCAGCATGGAATTGCAAATCTTTAAAACAACTGTTCCTTCCAAAATCTCAGCAAAACTACTTCAAAAAGAAAGGAGTTGCAAGGTTTCGTATGCAAGGGTTGCATTTAGAAAATATATTAGAAAATATACATATTGCTGACTGCATGCAAACAAAAAGGGTTTTAGTGTTTGGCAGAAAGCAGACTGGCCTTTCTGTCCTGAATGTTGTGGCTGGTACTGCTCTATACCAATTCAAGAGTCAAAATTGATAAAGAAATGATGTCAAAATGCATTTTGTAGTCTTTGGGCTACCAGATATGTTTCTCATAATCAACCTTAAGCATCTGATGGGCTGATTTGCTTGGACAGATTTGCCTGTGGGGTAATGGGAGTTATTTTACTGATGTTATCACCTCCCACCCTGCCAGGAGTACAACCTATGCCCCACAAGCTTTATACCTGGATTTTATTATAAAAAACAAGTGCAAGGCTGTGACTTAAATTGTACCTTTTGAATGCTCAGTGTGTATTTGGGCAACTTTCTGGCAGCGTGTGGTATTTTTATTTTTATTCCCACTGTTGTGATGAGCAGATCAGCCCTGTTGGGACACTTTGCTCATCCGAGCTCAGCTGTTCAAGGGAACAGCATCAGCAGCACGAGCTTGTTCTGCCTGTGTTCTCAGCCACCTGGGCAGGAGGCCACATACCTGAGCTGGTGTGGCCCTGAGCCTCTCCTGAATGGATTGGCTGGGAATTCTCTGGCTGCTGCAGGAGCAGTGTGGCTGCTGGGTTGTTCATGGCCAGGTCACACTGGAGGAAGTGTGGGACTGTCAATCCCACCTGCTTCAAACCTCCCCGGCAGCTTCAGCTTTTGAGTCTGGTGGTTTGCTCTACTCAAGGCTGCTTAAACTCCTACTTTGTGTCTTTAACATCTGCATTATTGTGGTTGCCTTGATAAGAATAAGGATTTTTTAGATTGAACTCTGAGAAAGAGAAGGAGGAAAAATAATCAAAACCCGCACACATCTGTTCTTGTCTGAGACATCTGAGTGTGTGTGGGGGTGTATTTTTTTTATAGGTTGCTTGATGCAGATAGTGTGGGATCATTCCTGAGTGTAGGGATGAATGGTTTGATCCTGGTTTAAGGAAGTAGGGCAGACTTAGG